AAGAAAACATTTGTTATCTAGAATTTATTAAAATATTTTTTTAATCAGATTATTTAAAATATCGAATTAGAATATCTTCAACAATTAATAAATTCGATATAACCGTTTTGTATAAATTACACACTATTCTAAATATAATGTTGGAATTTTCCGAAATCGGTGCGTGGTAAATGAATATTCTACAACCGTTTTCTCAGAAGGAACTATCAGCTATCAGCGAACTTTCAACCGAATAAATTATTACAAACCAAGCAAGTTTATCGACTTCAAGTTTATCACTGCTTCAATCTTGTGTCGTGTTTGCTGCATCGGATTTCGTTGCAGCCTCGATGAAATTGTAGCTCTCTCTCTCTCTCTCTCTGTTGAATGTAAATCCTTATTCACAATACCCGGTAGGTGGTTTTCTCATTATCGATCTGTCCTTTCACCTTTCCCCGTTGTTTTCTTTTCTTCTTTTGCACCTTCGTGCGACATAATGGATTTTTCCTTTCTTGAGGAACCAACGATCAAAGTCGTGAGTTTCTGTATGTGTGTGTGTGTATATGCGTAAGCAGTATATTAGTTTTAAGCGGAAATATGTGTGTCAAGTACGTATAACAATGACGCTATGCGATCAATACCCTTTCTGAACAGGATAAATTCCCGTATTTAATATCGCGTCAGCGGTTCTGGCGATGTCAATGGCAAAGCATTTAGCGATTTTCTGCTCGGCGGCGATTATTGAATGAATTTGTTTAAAAATATCATAATTAAATTATTATAAAACAATAATCAAGATGTTCGAAAACAGATAAAGTATCTCTTTGTATTCCCAGCATAATGGCAACAAAAAATTTGTATCGGATGAGCGACGTATAAATTGTAAAATGACGTCAGAATTGTTCTCGTTTGCAGAAGTAAACGATGATGATGCGCGAGAAACACTCTTTCCTCCTCTTTCCTATTGCAAAAACAATCAATCGCCAGGCTGAGAATCGTTACGTGTTTGGCCATTAGTATCGTCAGAACCACTGACGTGGTATTAAATACGAAAATGTACTCTGTTCAGATCATGTATATATATATATATTTCAGAAATGTTGACAAAACGGAAAGATCATGCAACTAGATATATCTGTTATGATAATGATACTGTTTACTGTAAAATAGTGATTGTGAGAGGAATATCAGGAAGAGAATTAGGCTTCGTAAAATATTAATGCAGTATTTGGATTTTCAATGTTGTATAGACAAACTGAAAGAAATATTGCACAATGTAACATATAATATATCTTTCTTTGTTTTTTTTTTATAATAAACATGACACGTTATACTTAGAATATCGCTTAACATATTTAGGCCGGTATTCATAGTCCGTTCTTATTTCAAGATCGTCTGAAGTAATGTCTTAAAATGCTAATACGGCCTGATTGATTCATGACATCTTAAGACTGTATTTAAGAAATCTTAAATATAAGAATCAACTATGAATACCGCCTTTAGGCCCAGTTTCCCAACTCACGGTTAACTTTTAATCGAAGTTCAATTTATTCATTATCTCTTTCCAATTCTAGAATTGGAAAGAGATAATGAATAAATTGAACAAGTTGAACCTCGATTAAGAGTTAACCGTGAATTGTGAAACTGGGCCTTAATACAATACTGTGCTATTTAAAATTAATATTATCTCACAATACTTGCTATGAAAAAAAATCATACATTAAATTGTGTACCTATTGATAATACGTTGTAACGAGAAAAAGTAAAAAGCATTTCCTTGATTTTTTGTAGTTTGATTCATTTTAGGCGAATATGTGAGAAAGGAACTATTTAATACTTAGGCATTCTATTTAACGAATAAGTATTTTTAAGAGTTTAAAGAGAGTTTTATGACAACGGCGGTTACGATTGCAACGTGTAAATAATCAACAATATCTTGAGTGTTCTCAAGAATAAAATTACAAAAAAATAAAATTGTTATATGCATTATACAATATATAATGCAAATTTAGGCGATATTAAGTAAATAAAAATAAATATGTAACAAAATGCAAAATTTAATTTAAAAAAGGAACTTTCACTTTGATAATACCGTAAATGTTTATAGGATTATCCACGCGTTGCTTAGATTTTGTCGAAAAAATATTGTAGAGCAAGACCAGTGATAAGGATATATAAAGGAGAGAGTTAATAATTCGTGCATATCATATATCGTACCGCAAAACTATTATATGTATATATATTTTTAAAATAACAGCCAATAATTGGCTTTAAGTATTCATATTATATAGCGCGTCTCAGACGCGTCGATGTAATTTATACGTCTGTTTGAAATTCGAATATTTCGAAGATTCGTTTCGCTTTGGCATAGCGTTTTCACGCTAAAACACCTGTGTCGAGCTCAATGTTTCTTAAGTTTAATACTTTCTCTTCTCTCTCTCCTCTCGTAGAAAAGTCAGATCTTATGTAACTTTACTGCGGAATGTATATACCACATAATAGATTAAAGATACAGCTTGCTAACAGTTACAGTTTGAGCGAAAGCTAATAAGAAAGATAATGCGCGTTTAAAGAATTATGATCTCCCTTTTTTCTCTCTTATGGAATGTACGTTTGATTGGTCATTGGCTTTCGTCAATGCGCCCACTTTCCCTCTCCCTCATATCCTTTACTGCTCCTACTTGCAACACGTAATCGTCACAATCTCTCATCTACTAGTAAAATGACGCATATACATACAATGTTGTTTCCAATACATACGAATACACATGACCCCCCCTCCCTCCCTCTTTATTACATATGTATCGAGAAAAACGGAACGTGGTTGTACATCACATTACTAAGAGCACTTAACCACGCAACACTTTAACTGCGTTATAAAAATACGCAATATTATTACAATAAAATAATTATTCATAGTTCTTAATTCAATTAATTGTTTACTTGATGAAAGTCTGTTATGTAGCGCCTTGCACGTTATCACAGTGTACGGTAGTTTCCTTCCTTGCATTGCCTGTAGAACTTCCATGAGAACGCAGCGATTGCCATCAAACATGTAGTAAGGATAATGCCACCTGCAACAAAAAGATATGTATGACTATTTGATATTTAACCATATCTGTTACATTAAATCAAATATATATAATAACAAATTTAATAAAAAAATTCGTCTAAAAAGAACCAGTATTTGTAATTTATGCAATTTTAATTATTTTAATAAAATTTTTGTAAAACTTTTTATTTTATTGTCTTATCTATTGTAAGATACAGTCTCTCGATTAATTTATAGAAATAACTAGCAGAATAACATCTCTTACGTACCAAAAAAGCTTAGACCATCAAATTGGCGATCCTTAGAAGATGGTGGTACAGCTGTTGTCTTCGATGAAGCCGTACTAGTGGATGTAGGTGGAGATGTTGGAACGCTGGTTGATGTTGTATTTGTTGGTACAGTAGTAGTTTTGGGTGTAACAGTAGTAGTAGGAGTAGTAGTAGGAGTAGTAGGAGGAGTAGTAGGAGTAGTAGGAGGAGTAGTAGGAGTAACAGTAGTGGAGGTGGTGGTGATATTGGTAGGAGGAACAGTTGTAGTTTTAGTAGTAATAGGAGTAGTAGAAACAGTAGTAGTATTTGGAATTACAGTTTTAGTAACTGGTACAGCAGTAGTATGGTTCGAAGACTCCGTTGTAGAAGAAGGTCCATTTGGAAATGGATTTACTGTCTCTGAATGTATGAAGAATCCATATATTAATTTTTTTAATAAATAAATATTCCATATATTTCAATTTTTAAGTACATTTAAAACTGTTTTTCCTGCACCTTCCAATAAGATAAAAAAATATCCAAAGCTTGATTTTGTTCTCATAACGAGCAAATATGTTTTATACATAAACGCATATGCGCACTCATAAACATTAAGTAAAATAATTTTTAAAATATTATTCAATTAATATTTATTTTTAAAAATATGAAGAAAAAATAAAATCTGGATCAAATTTCAGTCTGTCATGATATAAAATTTTTCAGATCAATGTTCTGCGATTTAAAAAATTTTGAACCTTCGAATATAATTTCTACCAGAGAATTATGTATTTTGAATATGAAATGAAAATGACAAAAGTGAGCAAATTCACTACAATATTTATCACTTTATTGGTCAATACCTAATAAATTTGTTCACTTTTGTAATTTTCACTTCGTTTCAAGATACACAATCTTCTTAATTTTTTTACTTAATTTTTTACCGTGTCAAATAATTTAATGTCTTAATTTTTTTACTGTGTCAAATAATTTCAGACATTGATTTACATCTTAACATCTGGCAAATGTAAACCTATATCAATATCTTTGGATCTGTCGTTTCAGTCGAACTTCTCGATTCATTTTTCCTCTTTTTCTCTTCATGTTAGAGTAAAAAAAAGAAAAGACGAACAGTTCAATTAACGCCTGTTTCTACCAATGTAGTTTAATTTCAATCTCAATCCAACTAATTCATCAAATTCTGTTTTATGAATTAAAAAAAATGAAGACTAACTGAGATATACGCCAATTTACTTTGGTAAAAACGGGCATATATAAAAAGAATATTTTTTTTTTACATGACGAGATTTCAACTTCTTCATACCGCTGGTGTTTATATATCGTTTGTTGGCAACCGCAAATGTGTTGACCACGATAAAACATTAAGCCGTTGCGCGTTTCGATTGTTATCGCTCATCATACCTAAGATTCGGTTGGTAGTGGTCAGCGAAAAATCAATAGTAATCTACTCGAGACTACCGCTGTTGTGTAACGAAGGTCGAACGTGTGCAAGAGACATGTGCTGAGTCGCTGTTTTTAACGGCTCGATGTTTTTTTTTTTTTTTTTCTAATCAATCTTATATTTTTATAGACTTCTCACGAAAAGGAGAGAAAGGAAAAAAGAATAATCTCTAAAACGAATATCTTTACGCAAGGGTAGCGGTCATGTAACTTTATTCCTAGAGTAGAAACGTGAAAATTTCTTGTATGTGTGTATACGTACACAATTCATTTGTCACGTTTCCGTTTTAAGGAAAAAGTTACGTGATCGCCCGAATGTGGAAAGCGCGAGTCTACGAATACATTAATTTCTCGAACGTCGCTACTGGAAAAAACCGACACAGTGCAGTTATCGGTAATTCGACACGAGTAGGCGTTCCCCGATAAGACGTAAAATACGACAACTGAATACCGTCCATCCGACACCGCGTGCTTTAAGTCTCATTACACATGTATGAGCAACGCATTTAGTAATGATTACGCGCCAATATTTAGAATTAACCAACTCACCCTCCACGGCCAGCACCAGTGGTACACACAGTAACGCGCAGATCAAGTAAGCAGACTTCATTTTTTCGAAAATCGTCGAAAATTTCTCGTTCTTTTCGAAATGCGCAGAGACGATAAAGAGCGATAATACGACATACACTGTCACTCAACCACACCGAACTGATCGTTACTGAATGCTGATCGTGATTGTCGTGTGAACACTCAACACTTCGAAACGACTTGCAGCGACCAGTAGCGACCGTTACTTACACCGCTAGAGATGGCGTTAATGCAGTTGCCAGCAATACGGCTTAATAATCCCTAGATAAGAAATTAGGTGAGTTTAGAAGTTTATTCATTTTGCATGTGCTTTATATTCGAATCATAAGCTGGTATTCATAGCCGATTTTTATTCAATTATCAAGACCGCCTTAGTAAGTAATACCTTAAGACGCTAAGACTGCAGACCCTCTGATTGGTTCGTGACTTCTTAAGACCGTACTTAAGACGATTTTGAATATAAATAGTCTGTTCCTTCACTAAACTGTTTTAGAACTCTCTTTCTCGCTTTAAACAAATATCTATTTCACTTTAAATTCTAAAAGTATACATTAATTCAGCCACAGAACAGACTTAAGATCTGATTATGAATATCGGCCATAATATAAGAATATAGAGTGAAGATGTGTTCCGTTTTTACGCTCACATGCTGTAAACATCAATTCATCCTCTGAGATCTAAAATATTAAACAAAAACAAATGATGCTTACAAACGCAGTAAATCCAAAACAGAATGCATTTACAAAAGGCTTATTCTTTTAGCTGAACCCTTATTTTTAAAAACAAATACGAAAGACTAGGCACATACTATAGTATGTACTATACATTTTTTCACATTTTTTTTTCAAGAATAAAAGTCCTTATACTTCTTTTGCACGGTTCATCTATTCTTTTTTTTTTCTCTCTAAAGCCCTTCTATATTAGACCCAAGCCGTTACGACAGCCAATCTGAAGCATTTTCATGAGCTGCTCAAACCATTGAACTATATATACACTGGAATGGGCATTTTCGCTGTGAAGCATAGGCTGCGTTCCCATTTCGTTTCAGTGCAGTATCCAGTAGCCGTCATTTTGCTGAATATTGTACTGGAGAATCGTTCCCAAATGACTGGATACTGATTAGTGATATCGTACCTCATTTATCAGAACAGTTTTAGGTTATGAGTCAATACGCGTGCGAGACTGCGATGTATAATGTCACTAGCCAGTATCTATCATTTGGGAACGCTTTTTTAGTACAGTTTCCAGTAAAATGGCGGCAAAAAATGGCGGCAAAAAATGACGGCTATTGAATACTGTACTGAAATGAAATGGGAACGCAGTTATAGAAAATCGTGACACCAATTAATCAGCGTCATTTTGATTTAGTCAATATAAGAGCGAATCAGAAGCTTTCAGGTGCTCATGCGCACTTATGTTTAGTGTTTTTTTTAGTGAGATGCATATGTCAGCAAGATCGTATGTGGAGTTATATTTGAAAGATTACTTCGAAAGATTATAAAATCACGTGACTGTAAAATGTACAAAGCATCAACATGAAGTGCTGTGTGCCGGTGTGGGCAGAGAAGTAAAAAAGGCATTTCATTTTATAGGTAAGAATTTTTGTATTAAATGTATCAATTCTTGCACATATTTTATTGAATGTACTAATAAAATTGAAGTGAAATTATTTTACATACTATTCATGTCGATATAGATTTCCATACATCGATAGTACATCGATTGATACATCGAGCGAGCGCGCGAACGTTTTTAATTCGCTCAAATATCGTCCAAACTAAAATGGCGGCTGATCAATTGTGGCTACAAATTTTCTTCTATGCCCATTCCAGTGTATGTATAGTTCAGTGCCACAAGGCTTTTCCGAAGCCAAAAATCGAGTCCAACTTCTTCGTAATCGGTCGCTTCAGTTTGATTTCTTTCTTTTTATTGTGTCTACTTAACGTAAACTATAGCTTAAGCTGGTATTCATAGTCCGTTCTTATTTTAAGACCGTCTTAAGTATAGTTTTAAGATATGTCACAAACCAATCAGAGAGCCGCATTAGCATCTTAAAGCATTACTTAAGATGGTCTTGAAATAAGAATTGACTATGAATATCGACCTTTTCTGATTCGTTTGTGACATCTTAATAAGACTGTGCTTAAGATGGTCTTAAATATAAGATCCGACTATGAATACCAGCCTTAGAGTTATCTAAGTGTAATTCCTGAACGCACCCTAGGAGATACATAGGGTGGATATCCAGTTCTTATAAACCTATAGATCTATAGACTTAACTCTTGAATGTCCATTTTTATCAATGCAGTTTAATATTAATTTTGGTTTAATTAACTCTTTATTTTTTTTTAGTTGTAAGAATTTAAAAAAATGAAGAGTAAGTTGAACCGAGATTAAAGTTTAATTTATATAAAAACAGGCATAAAACAGTTTCAATATCTTATAAGATAAATTAATATGGCTCTCTGGTTAATTCGTAATAACTTAAGATTGTAATTAAAACGACGTCTACAATTTTAAGATATAAAATTTAAGTTTTAAATCTCAAGCTCTAAGAAATTGATCGATCATAGCCAATTATTTTTCTCACATTCAACTGACTGAAGTTTTACCTTAAAATTTCATTGTAGACGCCGCTTAAAATAAGACAGTCTTAAATATATAAGCGTTTTCGACTGTAGCGAGTTTTGAATCGGGTTGGATTAATGACGCTGCAAGCTTTACTATTGATAAAGTATGTAATGTCAACCAAGCAAAGCAATTCAACTCAGGGCACCTATCGTGGAACAAGTTGAAATCGGATTTCAATCGGAATTATTTAATTATTCTCTAGATTTCTATTGTGTGTTCTAGGGAAAACGGAATAATTCCGATTGGAATTCATTCTAACATAATTTTTTTAAAACCCGCTACAGTTTGACGTAGCGACCGGTCGTAGTAATTGTAAAATCTTAAATTGTGAGAAATTGGTCAATTTCTTCAAATTTTTCATTTATTATCCTTGATAAACATAATAAAGGACTGAAGAAAAGATTAAAAAATATTTTCATATATATCATCACGAAATATTTTATGCGGTTTTTTTCAATATTTGCGTTTTTACATTCTTAAAAGCAATGCGAAGTATAGACATTTCGTATTTTTTAATATATACTTTGTTTATATACTTCATATATATTAGCAACAGAGACTTAAATTCTGTTATATGCTAATTGGACTGCTCACTCTATCGTTATTTTTAAACCTATAAGAATGAAAGTAACTATTTGTTATATACGTGGACAATAATAACATGCGATAATCGCTTAAATTATTTACATAATTTACTCCAATTTTCTCGAACTGACACCTTGTCTACAATATTCTTCATAAATTGTTATCAATTATTTTCTTATTTCTGACCTGATCTTATACATACGCTGAAATACCGAAATTCAAGTAATGCGAAACGATCTTTATAATGATTGAAAGACTCAAAGACAAAACTATAATTTTAATAAAAATTTCTTTGACGTTAAACTTTTTTTCACGATTTATCAGAAAAATATTTTTCAAGTTTTATAAAAGCTAAAGAATCCCAATTTGTTCGAAATTTAAGTTGTATTTCAAGTTTTATAAAAATGTAGAACAAGCAATCTACGTACAAGATCTAAAATATAAGTAAAATTTCTCCACGATGTTGTAGCGAGTGCTCGTTCCAGAAAGAGTTTCAATCCTATCAATTAATTATATGTCTCCGATTTGTTCGATTATCCCCCGCTTTTGTTGACGGTTACAAGAAGGTGGTGCCACCTAGGATCGTCGGGAGCGGGGCGGGGAAAACCGGGGACCGCAACGGTCGGGAACGGGAATGCCGATGATGCGCGCTGAGGCGCTGAGCGCTCACGGCTCACAGCTTACGGGTTCAGTGCTGGTGCTCGATGCGAGGCGAGTGCGCGCGACGGTGCAGCACGAGTGCTTGCGCTCGTACGGGCCTGTTTTCGTGATCATCAAAGAGCGTTTTAGGCCACCGTCATGCACAATCGTCGATTCAAGGACTGATTTTGCGTTGCGGTGAAAGAACAGGATATGATATCTCACATGATTGGATACTCGATATAAGGGTTGGAGAAAGGAGTATCTTGATTTGTGACTTGTTAAAGAGAAGAAAGTATCTTTATTTGTGAGACCGTGATACGACGACACGACGGTTAATCTACACGGGGGAGGTGACGAGAGCTCGCGGAAGCGCGGGTGAACGGTGCGGTGTTCTGGGGTGGCAGCAGCGGGGTGGCTCGCGGTGATGACCAGCTCGCGGATAAAGGGCGAGGGAAATGGGCCGCTCCGCGTTTGATACGTGATACGAGGTGCGTGAGCGCGCGCGCGCGCGCTCTTTCTCTCTCTCTCTCTCCCTCTTTTGTGGAGCAGCCCCGCGCGTGTGTATGTGGCGTGCGTGCGTGTGTCGTCGTCGGCCTCCTCGTCCTCCCCGTTGTCGTCGTCGTCGACGTCGTGCCGAGCCGCGAGTCTGTGTGTCACCCGGATACGCGTGTGAGTTGCGTGAATGAAAAAGAAAGAAGGGGGAGGGCCGCTCGTTACCCCAAGATTGCCGAAACGAGCGTCGTTGTGGTGGTTGTCGTCGTCGTCGCCGTTGCCGTCGTCGTCGTCGTCGTCACCGCCGCCACCGCCACCGCCACCGCCACCGCCGCCGCCGCCGCCAC